GACCACCACTTCCTTGCCCACCATCCTGCCCGACTAGATCGGTGATGTCGATCGCAGTTCGGTCGGCTCATCGAACGGCGGCGGTGACTTTCAGCACACGTGAACGGCCTCAGCCTGTTCGTCCATCAGGGCGGTGTAGGCTTCTGCACGTCCCGGCATGGCATCCACGCCGCCCCGGCTGACGATGAGCGCGACCAGGTCCGAACCATTGGGTGGGTTTCGGAAAGCACTTCGTCATGGCCGTAATCTTGCGCTCCAAATGCACGTCGGCCGTGCCGCAGGAAACACCGAACTCCTCGTCGCCGAGCACGTCGGCGGCGAGGCCTGAGTTCCGGTCCCACGGTTCCAGCTGCTCGTGCTGCTCGGCCAACTCGAAGATGGGCCTGGGCTTTAGCGTGACCGGACACGCGGTTTGCCACGGGTTTCTGTCTCCCTGGTTGTTAATTCAGCGTGTCGCGATTGAAGTCGCCACGCATCATTGGTGTCCCTGGATAACCGGCCGGGTGAGGCGATCATTGGCACGGAGCTTCGCTGCTCGCCTCGGCCAGGACCTGGTCAGATCAATCCGTGGCTCCTGTGCGTCTCCGCTGCGTCGAAGATTACGCTCGCTTCGGATATTGCCAGTCGCCTAACGCGGCCCGACTTCGGCTGATGGCCGCGTCCCGCTCCGCGGCCGATGTCGGCGCGGGCGCGCCGGAAAATTTCTCAGCCGCCTGGCGTTCGCGTCCCATTGTCTCTCGCGGAAACTTTCGGCATCCTCGCGCGCCTGATCCAGCAAGCGCTGACCCTCACGTCGACCTCGTTTGAGCCTCCTCCTCTATGGCGGAGCGGGAGTCTCCGCTTCGTCGCGTGCGCGGTCGTCAGCGGCCAACTCTCCCGGATGCTGTCTGACACGACTGTCACAAGGCGTTTGAGTCAGGCGGGCGGTAGGCAGCATCTCCCAACATGACCAGCAGAACGATGTAGTTGGATCAGGTAGCTGATCAGCGCGGAACATTCGTCCTCATTTGCTGTCCATGTTGTTACACCCCACGAAGAGGTGCATGATAACCGCGACGATGAGCGAGTTTAATTCCCGAGGCCTCCCGCACACGCCGATGGCGAGGATCATATTGTTGGTAATCGCACCGGCTTCGTCGGGGTTGCGGCCGATGGCGTTCATCGCGCCGGCGCCGAGATACCGATACCGACCCGGGCCGACCACCCGAGGGCGATGGCGAGCCGCTGCCAGGAACCTCGCTCCGTCAGAGGCAGCGCCTGAAACCCACCGCCAGCAAAGTGTGAACATTGAAGGTCAGTCCATTGTTGATAATCCTCCGAACCAAATATTGGTCTCGTTGATTTTTCCTAGCCCCCCGGCGATCAATCCCACGGGGCAACGGTACCATGATTATGCCATCGGGCGATCAGTGCTCCTCTGTGGCTGCGCCCACTGACAGGACACCAGTCGGAGGCCTCGCGAAGAATGACCGACTGTATCATACCCACCAGCAGTTCGCAGGCCAAAGACGAAACTGGTTTCGATGACGGGAACCAGTGAATGTGATCATAACCACCATGATCTCGCCGCGTCATGTTGCCGACAGACGGAAGGTGAAGCGAGACCAACGGACCATCTCGGACACCAGCTCGAGATGCCGACGAAGCACGTTGATAGCCAGAAGCCGGCCGCGCAGCAGGGGTCTGCCGAATGCGAGAGAACTTTTTGAGGTAACCGAAACCTGTGAGCGTCGGCAACCCAGATACTCGACTAAGTATCGCAATTACACCAATTTTTTGTTGTGGGGGGTTGTGTTTTTTCTTTTTCTTTCTTTTTTGTGAGTTTCGCGCGCCCTCTTTCCTTTTCCTTTCGTATTCATTCTTGCGCCCCCTTTTTTCTCTCGCTTTCAATTCGCCTGCCGACGTTGGCTCCGTAGCCGACAGCCTGTTCATCGGGTTCATGACATGAATGGCGCTCCAGGCTTTAACAGGACGAAGAATAAATGGTGGCGATCACGGTCGAAGCATCGACGCCCCAATTTCGGATCCTCAGACTGCCTGGAGGCAAGTGAGGACAAGCTCAAACAGCATTTCGATCCAGCGCCTGCATCCGCTAGTGATCACCTTGGATTTGCGGTCGCCGCCGATTAAGAATCACCAGCAGACTATGCTGTACCCAGGCCCGAGCATGGTGTTGGTGACGGCGAACTGCATCAGGCCCAGGCCGTGATGCTCTTCTTCCTGGCTCTTCTTGCTTCCTTCTCCTTCTTCTCTTCATCCTTTCCCTTCGCTGTTTACATCTCCTCCTCGCATGGGGTCGTCATCGCGTCGTCCTTGTCCTCGTTGCGCGTGAGCGGCCTTGGGTTCGCCGTGGCCGCGTCATCTTTTGTCGCCACGCTGTAGCCGCGACGCTATTGCGACGTCGCGGGGAACACCGGATCCGGGGAAGGTTGGATCCTTCGGCTGAACACGAACGCCGTTCCAGCCCGAATATCTCTGAGCCAACCGCGCCTACGACTAAACCTACGATGAGCAGGTACTACCGACACATGCCGATCAGGCAGAAGTACTCGTTTGGTGGTCACGACGGTTCGTTGCCTCCGCAATCAGTACACTTTTGGGAACGGGTCAACTGGCGGTTGGGAATTGTTGCTTTCCGTAACGGCGGGAATAATCATACGATAGAACCCCATAGAAGGCCACCACGCTTGCGACGATCGTGCCTACCAATACCAAGAGCGCCACTGGCCCTGGTCAGATTGTCCCAGCAAAGCCTCCGAGAATGCCCATGACGATACATATAGGGCAACGAACCACCCAAGCCGTTCAGCCTGCGTGCATACTACCCACTGCGGCATTTCCGTTTCCAAACGGCGGGCATCGTGCATCCTCACCCGACCTGTCATCGCAGTGTTTTGCAGAAATCGTACCGACCTTACGGAATGATTGCCCCCCTGAGCGGCGTGGGCAGCATTGTTAGTCGCGCCAGTTTTCGCATTCCGAGTCCTACTTGCGTTCGAAGTCTTCCATATCCAACTCGTTAATCAGGTCGGTAAAGGCCGACAACTTTTGCAATTCTTCCTCGGTTACGTTGGCCTCGGCATCTTCAGTTGCCGCGCTCTCGGGCGTCAGAGGCTGTCCGGTATCCTGATCCATGGAGATTGCCGCTTTGTCCATCACTTCATCCGCAACGTAGATCGGAACTTCGGCGCGCACGGCCACGGCCATGGCGTCGCTGGGCCGGGAGTCGATTTCGTGGGTCTGGTCGCCGACCCGGATAACCACCTTGGCGTAAAAGGTTTCGTTCTGCAGGTCGTTCACCAGAATATGCTCGAAGGAACCACCCACCGATTTCACCAGGTCGACCAGCAAGTCGTGGGTCAGTGGCCGGGGAACAGTCATTCCCTGCATCTTCACGGCAATGGCTTCGGCTTCGGTGGGGCCAATCCAGATGAGCAGGAAGAGGTTGGTTTCCAGTTCCTTCAGAACTACCACCCGTTGGTAATTCATCTGGCTGATCCGGATGCTGTCAATTACCAGTTCACGCATATCTAGCTGCATCACTCCCAGTGACCGCGTTCGGCACAATGGTTGGGCCGAGCCTCTAACGGAACCCGCCAATTGGCTTCGCCAATTCTACACCCACCGGTAAGGGGTTGCAACCACGAACCCGCGTCGCCGCCCGGTCGCCGGGGCGTGTCTTGACCGGGATTTTCCCGGTCCGAAGCCAGCGTTGCGGGACAGTCGGGAGAGCCAATACCTACCTGAAAACGCTTGGCTCGGCCGCATCCTCCGGAGCGAAATCCGCGGGCGATGGTATGGAGGAGTTTCCGGCGGACGCCAGCGCAGAACCGGCCAGCACGTCGATGCCCTTGCGGATTGAGCCGGTGGCAGCGGCCAGGTCGCGCTCCAGGTTGCGCAAAGTACGCAGCGCGTAGGCGTCGGCATGGTTGCGGCGATTCTCAGCGTCCTCCTCGGCCTGCTGCATCATTCGACGTGCCTTGACCTCGGCCTCGCGCAGCATTTCCTCGGCCTTGCGACCCAGCTCGTGGTCGCCGAGACGGCTGCGGAACTCCTGCTCCAGGTGCTGACGGGTCTGGTGCGCCTCAGACGCCGCCGACGTCATGATCTCATCCTTGCGGGACAGCATTTCCTCGGCGTGTCGAATTTCCTGTGGGATGGCCATGCGAAGTTGGGCCACCAGCTCGTTGAGCTTAACCTTGTCAACCATGGCGCTGTTGCTCAGCGGCACCGATTTGCTCGAATCAACCAGCAGTTCAATGCGGTCGAGGATGTTGTTGATGTCGATAATGTCCCCCCTTGTGCCGGTGGTTAGACTTGCCCTGGTCTGGCTAAAAACCGGGGCTATTGAGCCGACAGCTGGAATTTCTCGTGCAGGGCGGCGGCCACGTGGGGTGGCACCATTTCGGTGATGTCGCCTCCCAGCCGCGCCACCTCTTTGAGCAGGCTGGAACTGATCATCATGTGTTCCGCATCGCTCATCAGCGCAACCATGTCGACGTCAGGTTCCAGCCGCCGGTTCATAAAGAACATCTGGGATTCATACTCAAAATCGGGGCCGCTGCGCAGACCGCGGATGATGGTTGCCGAGCCGGTATCCCGGGCGCATTGCACCACCAGGCCGGTAAAGGGAATCACCTCTATGTTGCCGATGTCGGCCACGGCTCGACGCATGAGGTCCACGCGTTCTGCGGTGTCGAACAGTAGGCTCTTGGAAGGTGTGTCGTACACGGCGACCAGAACTTTATCGAACAACCGTGCAGCACGACGGGCCACATCCAGGTGTCCCATCGTTACCGGGTCGAAAGAACCCGGATAGAGAGCGGTTACCATTCGGCTAATCTCCTGATTCAGTTTCGTTGTTCAGTTTTATTGCCGGCCAGTCCGGATCGTATCGGTAAAAAGTAACGCCGTTGTCGCCGTACCGCCGCTGGTCGTACTGTCGCAGGTGATGGATGTCCTGCGGCGCCGAGATGCGGCTGCTGTGTCCCAGCACCACAGTGGCGTCGACGGCCAGCACGCCGGGTGCGGCCAATGCCCGCAGCACGGGAGCCAGGTCTTCCATCCGGTACGGAGGATCGAGCAGCGCCAGGTCAAAAGGTTCCTGTTGACGCGCCAAATACCGCAGGGCGTCGGCACAGTGCACCTTGCTTGCGCCGGCAAAACCGGTGTGGTTCAGATTGTCCTGCAGCGGGCGACACTGCCGGGCGTTCTGCTCCACGAAATCGGCCCATGCCGCACCCCGGCTCAACGCTTCGATACCGAGGCTCCCGGTGCCCGCAAACAGGTCAACGGCGCGCCGGCCAACAACCTGGTCAGATTCCAAAATGTTAAAGATGGCGGCGCGGACCCGTTCTGTGGTGGGCCGAACGCCCGCAACCACGGCTCCTTGGAGCCGCAAGCCGCGTGCATCACCGCCGGCAACGCGCATCGTGTTCGAATTGCGTGGGGGCATTTTATTGCGGGCAGTTCACGGGTTGCCGATTACGGCGATTGCAAGTTTCGACTGATTTAAGCGCCCGGCTGCCGTCCGCATTATAGCGTTCCCATCTTGAACGGGGGTAAGGCGGGCGGGTTCTCACGCGTAGCCACTTTGTCATTGCGAGCGCAGCGCGGCAATCCCGTCGCGGTAGCAAGGGCGGTTCGCCGACGTGTATCCAACCTCATCGAGATTCCCGCTCGTCCTGAGCCTGTCGAAGGACGCCCGCAATGACAGGATAAAGTGGCTACGCCCGACGGTGGGTCTGCGCTTGCCGGGTTACCGGGCCGTGTGCTACCATCAACAACGGCAAATCCGCAGCAGCGCCAATCCGGGATTGCTACCATACCCAGCCGCAGCGGATATTCGCAACCAGGCACCGGGCCGAGCCCCGATAGTCCCCAATCCCCGGCGCACCTGCTCCTTTGAAACGCCTGCCCGTCAGCAGCCCACACCGACTCTGGACAACGCAAACCCAATGAGTTTTCGCCAGACTCTGGCCGACGCTGCTCCACCATCCGGCAGTGAGACCGCCATCACCATCGGCGTTTTCGACGGTGTCCACCGTGGACACCTGCATCTGCTGCAACGCCTCTTTGAACTGGCGCCCAAGCCCCTGGTTCCCACGGTTATCACCTTCAGCAACCACCCCGCCGAGGTGGTGAACCCGGACCGCACCGTCAACAAAATCATTACGCCCGAAGAGAAGGTCGAGCTTCTCTACAAGGCTGGTGCCGGCCAGGTCATCAGTCTGGAGTTCACCAACGATCTGGCCAACGTGGACGCCAACGAGTTTACGGATCTGTTGGTTGATTGCCTGAAGATGCGCGGCATCGTAACCGGGCCGGACTTCGCGCTGGGGCGCAACCGCAGCGGCAATCTCGAATACCTGCGCCGGCGGGGCGCTTCCCTGGGCTTCTGGGTGGAAACCGTGGCCCCGCTGGAAATCGATGGCTCTGCCGTCCGCAGCCGCCGGGTTCGCAACGCCCTCGCCGACGGCGATGTGGACGGCGCCGAGTATCTGTTGGGCCGTCCCTACGCCACCGATGGCATCGTGGTGCACGGCGCGAAGATGGGCCGGCAGCTGGGCTTCCCCACCGCCAACATCGTGCCCACCGCCAACTTTGTCATCCCCGCCGATGGGGTCTATGCCACCTACGCCACCGTGAACGGCGTGCGCCACATGGCGGCCACCAGCATCGGTGTCCGACCCACCTTTGGCCTGAGCCAGCGGTTGATCGAAGCCCACTTGCTGGACTTTTCGGACGACATCTACGACCAGTCGTTGCGCCTGGAGTTCGTGTCCCGGCTGCGCGGTCAGGAAACCTTCGACGGCATCGACGCCCTCATTACCCAGATGAACCGGGACGTCGATCTGGCCCGGGCCACCCTGACCCAGCACGACGAGCTGGAACGCAAGGGCGAGGTCGCCGGTGACTAGCCCGGTCCAGATTCCCGCGGATACGGCCCTCATCACCCGGCGGGGCGTGAGCCGTATCATCTCTGAGGACGCCTTCGTCGCCATGCTGCAACGGGGACGCCCCCTCCGCCTCAAAATGGGATTCGACCCCAGCCGCCCGGACATTCACCTCGGCCACGTGGTGGGGCTGCGCAAGTTGCGGCAGCTGCAGGACCTGGGCCATCAGGTAATCCTCATCGTCGGCGACTGGACGGCTCAGATTGGCGACCCCTCGGGCCGATCCGCCACCCGCTCGATGCTCAGCCATGCCGAGGTGCTGGACAACGCCGAATCGTATATGCGTCAGTTCTTCAAGGTGGTAGACCGCGACCGCACCCAGGTGGAATGGCAGAGCCAATGGTTCGGGGACTTCACCCTGGCCAACGTCATTGAGCTAACCAGCCGCTTCACCGTGGCCCAGTTCCTCGAACGCGACGACTTCGCCCGCCGGTTCGCCGACCACCAACCCATCGCCATCACCGAGCTGCTCTACCCGCTGCTGCAAGCCTACGACTCGGTGGCCATTGAAGCCGACGTGGAATTTGGCGGCACCGACCAGATGTTCAACCTGCTGGTGGGCCGCGAGTTGCAGGAGATGATGGGTCAAACGCCGCAGCAGTGCTTCCTCATGCCCATCCTGGTGGGCACCGATGGCGTCCAGAAGATGAGCAAGAGCCTGGGCAACTACATTGCGCTGGAAGAATCGCCGCAGGAGATGTACGGCAAGGTGATGTCGCTGCCCGACAGCCTGATACTCCAGTATTACGAGTACCTGACCGACGTGCCCAACGCCGACCTCGCCGCCATGGGCCAGGCGATGGAGTCAGATTCCGCCAACCCGATGGATTTCAAGAAGGGGCTGGCCCGTTCCATAACCGCCACCTTCCACGACACCGCTGCCGCCAGCGGCGCCGAGACCCAGTTCGAGCAGGTGGTGCAGCGCCGCGACGTGCCCGATGATATTCCCGAGTGTCGGCTGGCCGACGTTGCCGAACTGAGCATCAACCAGCTATTGGTGCGAACGGAACTGGTCGCCAGCGCCAGCGAGGCTCGCCGCCTGGTGGGCCAGGGCGCCGTGGAAATCATCCACAGCAGCGGCGACCGGGCAACCGTGGCAGCCGGAGCGCCACTACCAGCGCTGGCAGCCGGCGACGTGATCCGCGCCGGTCGCCGCCGGTTCGTGCGGCTGGTGCAGTAGGCGGTCGTAATCGCAACCGTTTATCCGGGCAATTCGGCAACGCGTTAGTCATGCTGCCATGACACCGCAGGAATTCATTGCCAAGTGGCGGCGGAGCCGGGGGCAGGAATCGGCCGGGGCGCAGGAATGGTTCATTGACCTTTGCCGGGTGGTGGAGCACCCAACGCCGGCCGAGCTAGACCCCCGTCAGGAGTGGTACACCTTCGAGCGGGCGGTGCGGGAGTCATCGGGCCGCCGGGGCCGCGCCGATGTGTACAAGCGCAGCTATTTCGCCTGGGAGTTCAAGGGGCTGCACCGGGACTTGGACGAGGCTTATCGTCAGCTGCAACGTTACCGGGAGGCGCTGACCAACCCGCCTATTCTGGTGGTATCCGACTTTCGCACCATTAGGGTTCACACCAACTTCACCAACAAAGTGCCCATTGTCCACACCATCCTGCTGGATGACGTTGGCGAGCCGGAGCTTGGAATACTGCGCAGCGTCTTTCACAATCCGGATACGCTGGAACCGGAAATCAGCCCGGATGACGTTACCAAAGCGACCGCCGACATTTTCGCCAAAATCGCGGCGTCCATGCGGAAGCGGGGAGTTGACTCCCTGGACGTTGCCCGGTTCCTGAACCGCCTGGTGTTCTGCTTTTTCGCCCAGGACGTGGGGCTGCTGCCCGGCCAGATGATGACCGAGCTTTGCGAGAATTTTCACGATAATCCCGCCGAATTCGACCAGGGACTGCAGGAACTGTTCCGTCGCATGAACGACGGCGGCCGGTTTGGCGTGCAGACCATTCGCCACTTCAACGGCGACTTGTTCAAAGACCCGGATACGGTCTTGATGACTACGGGCGAGCTGGAAGGACTTTCCGAAGCGACGGAGCGAAATTGGGCCCACATTGAGCCATCCATTTTCGGCACCCTGTTTGAGCGCGTGGTTGACCCCAACAAGCAGGGACTCGTTGGCGCGCAATACACTTCCGAGGCTGACATCCTGTCGGTTATCGAGCCGGTGATAATCAAACCGTTGCAGGCTGAATGGTCTGAAGTTGAGCGCAAAGTCGGCGGCCTGACGCTGCTGGAAGGCCAGCAGGATGAAGCCCAGGCCCGCCAGTTGCTGGAAGAATTCCAAGGCCAGCTCTCCTCGCTGAAAGTGCTGGATCCGGCCTGCGGCAGCGGCAATTTCCTTTACGTGGCGCTGCGTCAGTTGCACGACCTGGAAAAATCGGTGCTGACGCTGGCAGCCGACCTGAACCTGCGGGGCTTCCTACCGGAGGTGTCGCCGGAGCAGTGCTATGGCATCGAGATTGACGCGTACGCCAGCGACCTGGCCCGTACTTCCCTCTGGATTGGGCATCTGCAATGGTTGATTGAGAACGGCCACCAGTACAACCGGGAGCCTGTGCTGGGTTCCCTGAACACCATTGAATGCCGCGACGCATTGATCGAATTCATCGACTATTGGCCTGAAGGCGCTGCCATATTGGGGACGGATTTGTCCCGGCATGCCGCGTACAGTGACGAAGATCGGCAGGAGATTCTGGAGATTGGTGAAGCGCTATGGCCGGAAGGGGATGCCATATTCGGCCACCCGAAACTATACCGCGAGGCGCGTTGGCCGGCGGTGGATTACATCGTGGGCAACCCGCCGTTCCTGGGCCACTTCCCGTTCCGGGAACAGCTAGGCGATGAATACGTCAACGCGGTCTACGATTTGTACGGCGACCGGATACCCAACTCCAGCGACCTCTGCTGCTACTGGTTCTAGAAAACGCGGGCGCATATCGAGGACGGGAAAGCGCGGCGGGCTGGCCTGCTGGGCACACAGGCGATACGCTTCCAGTCCAACCGGCCCGTGCTGGTCCGCATCAAAGAGAGCGGCGATATTTTCAGCGCCGTTTCAGACCAGGATTGGGTGCTGGACGGCGCCAGTGTGCATATCTCCATAGTTTGCTTTGACGACGGCAGGCAGACCACACGCATCCTGGATGGCGAGCGCGTTTCCAACATCAACGCTGACCTGACCGGCGGCGCGGATTTGACGCAAGCCAATCGGCTAGCCGAGAACCGGAATCTGTCGTTTCAAGGAATCGGTAAAGTCGGGGATTTCGACATACCAGAATCAGTCGCACTGAAAATGATGGGCCAACCCAATCCTCACGGCAAACCAAATAACGACGTGATCAAGCGCTGGATCAACGGTGTCGACATCACCCAACGCTCACGCGATGAGTGGATCATTGATTTTGGGGTCGATATGCCCGAGGCCCAGGCTGCGTTGTACGAAGCACCCTTTGAGCACGTCAAAGCTAATGTCATGCCCGATCGCGTCAATAACAGAATGCGGTGGCGCGCTGAGAACTGGTGGTTGCACGGCTACCCGGCAACCCAAATGCGACGTGCGTTATCACCGCTGCGGCAATACATAGGGACATCGTTGACTGCAAAGCACCGCATATTCGCTTGGATACCAATGGACGCGCTCCCTTCAAATTCAGTGATCGTGTTCGCTCGGGACGACGATTATTTTTATGGCGTGCTCCACAGCAAAACGCACTTCCTGTGGGCTGAGGCGATGGGCACTCAATTGGAAGACAGACCACGCTACACCCCCACCACCTGCTTTGAGACCTTCCCCTTCCCGGAGCCAACTGACGCCCAGCGGGCCGTCATCGCCGAGGCCGCCGCCGAGTTGAACCGGTTGCGGGAGCGTTGGCTCAATCCGGTGGACATGTTCGGGAACCCGGCGCTGACCGCTCCGGAGCGCCGTCGGCGCACCCTGACCAACCTGTACAACCAGCGCCCCACCTGGCTGGCCAACGCCCACGCCACTCTCGACGCCGCCGTTGCAGACGCCTACGGCTGGCCCCCGACCTGCCCGACGCCGAAGTGCTGCAACGGCTGCTGGCGCTCAATCTGGAACGGGCGGCGGCAGAAGTGGCTCCTTAAATCCACGCCGTCATCGGTGCGCTATACTGTCCTCGATGACGGATCGGCCAACCCCGAAGCCGAGAGAGCCTCGCTATGACCACATCCAAAAAACTGATTACCGCCGACGACCTGCTGGCGCTGCCCGACGACGGCAAGCGGTACGAGTTGGTGCGGGGGGAATTGAAGGTAATGGCGCCAGCTGGTGACCGTCATGGTGAAGTTGCAGACCGCATTGGGCGGAGGGTCGGCAATTTCGTGGAGCTGCACCGCCTGGGTCGTACCGTCAGCGCCGAAACCGGGGTTTGGATAGAGCACAACCCGGACACGGTGCGGGCTCCCGATTACGCGTTTACGTCCCACGCAAGGCTGTTTGGCTTGCCGGCGAGCCGCGGCTATGCCGAAACAGTCCCCGACCTGATAGTCGAGGTCGTTTCACCCAACGATACCCAGCCGGAAATCGACTCGAAAACCCGCATGTGGCTCGAGTCCGGGGTCCGTCTGGCCCTGGTGGTGTATCCGGATGCAGGGCTGGTCGTCGCCCACCATGCCGATGGCACGGCGCAACAGTTCGGCACGGGCGACACGCTGACTGCCGAGCCGGTGCTGCCCGGCTTCGAATGCCCGGTGGCCGATATCTTCACTTACTGATTCCGCCTACAAACTTCCTTCGCCCAACCTGGAGCATCCTCATGGCCCTCTCTGACGATAACGAACAGATCCAGCAGCGCGCTGCCGCCTGGCGTGAGAAGGCCGACGCCGCCAGCAAGCGCAAGAGCTCGTACAAAACTCTGAGCCAACTGCCTGTCGAACCGGTGTACGGCCCGGCAGACGTTACCGACAGCGACTATCTGCGCGACGTTGGGCTGCCGGGCGAATACCCCTATCTGCGGGGAGTGCATCCCACCGGCTACCGTTCCCGCCTTTGGACGATGCGGATGTTCGCCGGTTTTGGCCAGCCACGGGAAACCAACGAGCGGTTCCGCTTCCTGATGGATCAGGGCGAAACCGGCCTGAGCGTCGCTTTCGATATGCCCACGCTGTACGGTTACGACCACGACGACGAGCGAGCGCGGGGCGAGTTTGGCAAGTGCGGCGTGGCCGTATCCTGCCTGGAGGATATGCAAACCGTCTTCGACACCATTCCTCTGGATCAGGTAACCACGTCGATGACGATCAACAGCCCGGCGGCCATCATCTGGGCCATGTACATCGCCGCCGCCGAGCGACAGGGCGCGTCAATGGCATCGCTGGGCGGCACCCTCCAGAACGATATTCTCAAAGAGTATATCGCCCAGAAACGAGTACATCTTCCCGCCGGATCCATCCATGCGGCTGGTGGTCGATACGGTTGAATTCGCCACCAAACATATGCCCCGGTTCAATCCCATCAGCATCAGCGGCTACCACATCCGCGAGGCCGGCAGCAACGCGGTGCAGGAGCTGGCCTTCACGCTGGTAGACGGCTTCGAGTACGTGCGCCACGGCATCGAACGCGGGCCTGGCGGTGGACGACTTTGCCCCCCGGCTCAGTTTCTTCTTCAACGTCCACAACGACTTTTTCGAGGAGATTGCCAAGTTCCGGTCGGCCCGACGCATCTGGGCGCGGGAAATGCGTGAGACCTTCGGCGCGGAGAACGAGCGTTCCGGCTGGCTGCGTTTCCACGCCCAGACTTCCGGCGCGTCGCTGACGGCGCAGCAGCCGGAGAACAACGTGGTTCGGGTGTCTTTGCAGGCCCTGGCCGCGGTGCTGGGCGGCTGCCAGTCGCTGCACACCAACGGCAAGGACGAAGCCTGGGCCCTGCCGTCCGCCGAGGCCGCCCTCCAGGCGTTGCGCACCCAGCAGATTATCGCCCACGAAACCGGCGTCGTCGACACGGTGGACCCGTTGGGCGGCAGTTATTACGTGGAAGCGCTGACCAACCAGGTTGAAGCCGGCGCCTACGACTATTTCGAGCGCATCGACCGGCAGGGTGGGGTGATTCCGGCGCTGGAGTCGGGGTTCTTCCAGCGCGAGATTGCCGACGCGGCCTACCTGTATCAGCAGGAAGAAGATCGTCAGGAACGCCTTACCGTGGGTGTCAACGCATTTACGGCCAGTGACGAGAGCCTGTCAATCCCCATCCTGCGGGTGGACGAGGCCGGCGAACAGCGGCACATCGCCCATCTGAACGAGATTCGCCGGCGTCGGGACAACCGGGAGTTGGCGGTACGCCTGCGCGCTCTGGAATCCGCAGCCCGGCAAAATGGCAGCCACGCCAATCTGATGTATCCCCTCATCGAAGCCGTGAAAGCCGAGGCTACCCTGGGCGAGATGATGGGCGTGTTTCGGAACGTGTTCGGCGAATACCAGCCCACCTGGGGCTTTTAACCCCTCCGGTAACGTGACCTTTAACGTGACTTTGCCGCGGGAGGCCCAATGGTAGCCAGGAAGCCGAGGGGGAAATACACCTACGCCGACTATGCGGCGACTCCCGACGATGAGCGATGGGAGCTGATTGACGGGGAGCTGTACAGAATGGCGGCAGGAGCTAGCACGAAGCATCAATTGGTAACACTGGAGTTGGCGACGCTCCTCAGGGAGAACGTACGCCGCAGGACCCTGGGATGGATCTTCATCGCGCCGTACGACGTGATCCTGTCGGACACTAACACGGTGGAGCCGGACATACTGTTTGTCAGCGCGGCCCGGCGCAGCATCATCACCGAGCGGGCCTGCGAGGGAGCTCCCGACCTGCTGGTGGAAGTGTTGTCGCCATCAAACTCGCGGCGCGATCTGGAAGTCAAGCGGGAACTCTACGCCCGCTTTAGTGTGCCCGAATATCTGATTGTCGAACCCTACCAGGAAACGGTCGTGTCATTGACCAACCCGTCGGTTGACGAAGGGGAAGGGGAAGGTCGGTATTCCAACGAGGCCACCTACCGTTCCGGTGAGCATTTGCCCATCGGGAGCATCCCCGGGCTGGTCATCCCCGTCGCCGAGATTTTTGCCTCGCCGCTTTAGGCTGCCGCGCATCGGGCACCGTGGCGCACCGCACACCAAAAAGCGCCCCGGTGGGACCGAGGCGCTGTGATTCAGCGAGTTTCTAGCCGCCGCTAGGCACGGCTTTCGGCCTTGGCCTGCTTCGCAACGTCGATCACGCGCTGCTCAATATTTTGCGGCACCTGCTCGTAGTGGTCGAACTCAAAACGGTAGGAACCGCGCCCGCCGGTGAGCGAACGCAAGTCCTGCGAATATCGCTGCACCTCGGCGTGTGGCACCTCGGCCTCGATAATGGTGTAGCGGGTCTCGGGAACCATGCCCAAAATGCGGCCACGTTTGCTGTTGAGGTCGCTGATGATGTCGCCGGTATAGTTTTCGGGCACGGTTACGTACAGCCTGACCACCGGTTCCAGCAGCACCGGTGCGGCCTTGGTCATGCCCTGGCGCAATGCCTGGCTGCCGGCAATTTCAAAGGCGATGGGTTTCCCGTCCACCGGGTGCGTGCTGCCGTCGTAAATGATGGCCTTCATGTCGACCACCGGGAAGCCGGCCAGCACACCTTCTTTCAGCGTGTTGACCACGCCTTTTTCCACCGCCGGAATGAGTTCCCTCGGCACTCGCCCGCCGACCACCTCGTTGCCGAACTCGAAACCTTCATCCCGGTCTTTGGGTTCCAGGCGCAGAACTACGTGGCCGTACTGCCCACTGCCGCCGGTCTGTTTCTTGTGGCGGTATTCCGAACTGGTAATCTGCGTGATGGTTTCGCGGTAGGGCACCACGGGCAGACGCACGTTGAGGCTGGCGCCAAACTTGCGTTTGATGCGATCCAGTGCGACTTCGATCTGAACTTCGCCCATGCCGGTCAACAGGCTTTCGCTGGTTTCCGGGTTGCGGGTGAACCGCAGGCTGGGGTCATCCTCAACGATGCGGGCCAGTGAGGTGGACATCTTGTCCAGGTCGGCCTGCGTGGCTGGATACACCGCCAGAGAATAGAAGCCGTGGGTGAAATCAATGCCGTCCAGCGTTATACGGTTGTCGTTGGCGCAAAGGGTGTCCCCGGTGAGCGTGGAGCTCAACTTGCCAACTGCTCCGATGTCGCCGGCCACGATTTCGGATACATTTTCCTGGCTGTTGCCCTGGGGGAAGTACAACTGGCTCAGGCGTTCGGACTGGTTCTTGTTGGGGTTGTACACTTCGCCGTTGGACTTGGCCGTGCCGCGATACACGCGGAACATGGACAACTTGCCGACAAACGGGTCGGCGGTGGTCTTGAACACCAGCGCGGCCAGCGGGGCCCGACGCATCGACTTCGATGTCCGCATTACCCGACGATTGCGGGAAATCCGCCGGTGACGGCAGGAAGTCGTGCATCATCTGCACCAGCTCGGTGACTCCGATATTCTGGGTTGCCGAGGTAACCAGGATGGGCACCAGCGCTCCGTCGCAGATAGCCTTCCGGGCGCCGGCGGTTACTTCCGCGGCGGTGATCTCCTCGCCTTCCAGGTACTTGTCCGCCAACGCGTCGTCGGACTCGGCGACTGCCTCGATAAGCCGCTCGCGGGCGGAATCGAAGTCGCCCACCAATCCGTCGGGCATGTCGGCGCCGGCGGGTCAATTACGCTGACCAGGCCGGTGAAGGATTGGGCTTCGCCGATGGGAAGCTGGAAGGGCACGCACTTGTTGCCGAAAATCGACTGGATTTCCTGCACGCACCGCTCGAAACTGGCGTTTTCCCGATCCATCTTGTTGAGGACGAAGGCGACGGGCAAACCGCGGCCTTGCGCCATGTCCCAGGCTCGTTCGGTGCCAACGTCCACGCCGGTCGGCGCCGCAACGAGAATTACCGCCGACTCCACGACCCGCATGGCGACGATTGCCTCGCCGAGGAACTCGTCATAGCCGGGGGTGTCCAGCAGGTTCAGCTTGTTATCACCGTCGGTAACACGCAGCAGGCTGGCTTGCACACTGGCCGAGCGTTTGGCCTCTTCGGGTTCGTAGTCAGATACGGTATTGCCGTCCTCCACCCGTCCAATGCGGGTTGTGACCTTGGCATTGTAGAGAATGATCTCGGCAAGGGTGGTCTTGCCGGCGCCGCTATGAGACATCAGCGCAATGTTTCGAATGGTGCTGGCTGATACGGCCATCGTTTTACCCCTTCGCGTATGCTTAAGATGGGTTGAATTGCGTGATTGTAACGAAACCGGGTCGCCTGTTGCAACCGGGCACAGTCAACGATACAATCAAACACCAGCGACCGGCAGTGCGCCGCTCCTTCAGCGACTCCCCCTCGGGACCGGCCGCTCTTTTCATGCCTTGCTGGTCCGGCCTAGTGATTGATACCGTAGCCGGGGTCGGGCAGAAGGTCTGACGACTCGGCGGCGGCCCTGGCCAACTGGTCGCACAGTTCGTTATCGGCGTTGCCGCTGTGCCCCCGCACCCACCTGAATTCCACCGAGTGTTGCTCGCAAGCGTCGAGCAGGCGTTGCCACAGGTCGGGATTTACTGCCGCATCCTTTTTGTTTCGCATCCAGCCGTTATGGCGCCAGCGGGTTGCCCAACCCTTGCTGATGGCGTCCACCACGTAGCGGGAATCCGAGTGCAAAACCACTTTGCAGGGCCGATGCAACGCCTCCAGGCCGACGATGGCCGCCAGCAACTCCATGCGGTTGTTGGTAGTCAGCGCGTAGCCGGCCGAAAATTGCTTGCGCCGGCCGTTGTAGTCCAGCACGACTCCGTAACCACCGGGGCCGGGGTTGCCCAGACACGAACCGTCGGTATGAATATTAACGATCGGTGGGTCGTCAGGCGGGGCGGGCGGCATCGACGTTAATCCTCATCGCTTGCCGCAAGTTCGGACGGCGGCATCGCGGGTTAGTTGGGGTGCCGGGTTAGTTGGGGTGCCGGGCCACGCGCTTCATGATGGTGCGGGTCAGGCCAACGCATTTGGAGCGAATCTTGTCGGTCCATTCGTCCTGCACCGCCGCCTTCCAGGGTTCGGAGTCGATAACGTCGGGGCTGTCGATTTCGTACAGCGCCAGGTATCGGGGGAAACCGTCGGCGTTGGTCGTCTCCACGCGATACCGGTAAGCATTGCGCACGCCCTCGACCTTGCGCAGCCCGGGCAGATGCACCGTATCATACAGCCGATTGAACTCGCTTTCGTCGGCGGCGGGGATGTCGGTCTGCACCATGAAAACGTAGCCGGCGGCGGCTGGCGGCCCTCCCACCTCCTCTGTGATGCGGCGCAGCACGGTATGGGTGCGATTGGAGGCCTGGGGCCGAATTTTTTCGACCCAGTCGCCCTTGGCCGACTCCACCTGCCAACCGTCCGATTCAGGGACGCCCGGATCGTCCATCTCGTAAAGAACCACATACTTGGCCACCTGCCTGGCATCAGTGGATTCAAGCCGGTAGCGCGTGCAGGAGTGGACGCCAGCAGCATTGCAGATGTATTTGGCGTGTTCGGTGTCGTACACCCGGTTGAATTCATCCTCCCAATCGGCGGCGATATCCATTTGCACGAGATAAACGAAGTCGGCCATGAGAAAACCTCCGGATTCGGGTCGTTCAGATTACAGATGCACCAGATCGAGCGGCTGGTTCCACGCCCGCGCCAGGTGCTCCAGCGCGAGCCGGCGATGGCATTGTACGGCGGTGGGCTCGGCACACAGCAGCACGGTTGGAGTGGCGAATTCCTCCGGCGACATCACCAGCTCCGGGCGGCGCTGCGCCATGATGCCGGCGTAGGTCTGCTCGTATTGCTGCCAGGTGACGCGTTTTCCGCGCCAGTCGTCCAGTAGCTCCGGCGTTGGCGATAACAGGGGCCGATGCACGTATTCGATGCCGCACAGCTGCTCCAGAAACCAGGGCAAATCCTGCCGCCGGGCGAAGATGGCCATTTGCGATGTGTTCCGCAGGCGCACGTCAATCAACCGCTTGACCCCGGCGTTCCGCAACGTCTCGAAGAAGTCCTCGGCGGTGCGGCGGGTGAAGCCGATGGTGTAGACGGTTGGCACTGGGGAATTCAACGGGCGCGGCAACCGTCAGTAGGTCATCGCGTCCGGCGTGCCGTCCGGCAGCTCCACCTGCAGGGCTTGCAGACTGTGCGCCAGCCCGTGGTAGTAGGCCACCACAACCAGCATATCCACGATGCCGGCATCTCCTATGATGCCGCGCACCGCTTCAAATGTGGAATCTGCGACGCGGTGCTGACGCAGTAGTTCGATAACAAACTGGGACACCGCAGCATCATCGCCGGATAAACCGGCGGGCGACCGGTACTCGTGGATGGCCGCGATTTCAGAGTCGGTAAGGCCAGCATTGCGGGCGGCGGGTTGGTTCACCGTCCAGACGTAGTGCCCGCAGGCCTCGCGCGCCGCCGTGAGGACGGCGACAGCCTTAACGCGGGGTGGCAACGGAGTTTCAAAGCGTACATAGCCGCCCAGGTGAGCGAAGTTGCTGGATGCCTGTGGGTTGTTGAGCAGGGCAGCGTAGTTGCGTTGTACGCCGCCTCGGGAAGTTTCTATCTCATCCCAAACCGCCTGCCCGGCAGCATCCATATTCTCTCGAGTTGCAAAAGGTACTCGCGCCATATCAATAATCCTCCTGGGGGACAGCCGAAAGCGGAGCAGTCACACTCCGCCAACGCTATCAATTAGTTGGGTGGGTTTTGGCCATTGGTTTGGGGCGGCGCCTCGCTGAACGGTTCGCCCCTGGCTTCGGCGGCCAGACGGCGCTGGTTCCACTCCGTCCAGAGTTTTTGGACGGTGGCCTGGCCTTCCTCCCGGCCTTCCTTGCGGCCTTCTTCCCGACCTTCCTCTCGGCCTTTCTCCCGGCCCTGTTCGCGTGCCCGGCGCCTGATCATTGCTCCGATTACCATGTCTCCTGCCTCTACTGCTATGACTGCTCCGGCCAGGGAAGCTGCCGCCGCGCGTGTCGCCTGGTCGATGGCCACCCTGGTGATTTCATGCCAGACGCCGACGTCCCCAGCGGTAACCGTTGACCAGGTGGCTATCGCGGTCAACGTAATGGTACCTACGCTGAATATACCAAAGAACCATGGAATAGTGCGCGGTTCGATGCTTGGAACGCCGATGCGCGTTTCCTGGTTCTGACTTTGCGTCGCCATTGTCGACAGCTATTGTGCCTACCGGCGTCGACCTGGGCAAGCAGCAGGTGTCACTAAAACGGGCGGCCCCGCCATTCCGCCGGGCCGCCCCAAAGTGTTTACGGCGTAGGAGTATTAACCGCCGTTCTGGTTCCAGAGTTCTTCCAGAACCGCGCCCGGAGACATGGGCAGCGATCCCATGCGCACGCCCAGAGCATCGTGAATCGCGTTGGCGATGGCAGCCATCGGGGGAACGATCGGCACCTCACCCACACCACGCACGCCATACGGATGGCCAGGGTTGGCCTTTTCCACGATGACGGTTTCAATCATCGGCAGGTCCAGGCTGGTCGGCATCCGATAGTCCAGGAAGCTGGAGTTCGCCATGTTGCCGTCGTCGTTCATGAAGTACTCTTCGTTGAGGGCCCAGCCGATGCCCTGCACCGCGCCGCCCTGCATCTGCCCTTCGACATAGCTGGGGTGCACGGCCTTGCCGACGTCCTGAACGGCGGTGTAACGCAGGATTTCCACCTTGCCGGTATCAGGGTCGACTTCAACGTCGACGACGTGGGTGCCAAAGGCGCTGCCCACTCCGCCAGGGTTCACGCTGACCTGAGCGGAAATGGGGCCACCGGTGCGACCCAGCTGCGCGGAAAGTTCCTTGAAGGACATCTGCAGGTCCTCGTCGGAGTTGTGCTTGAAAATACCATCCGCCAGGTCAATCTCAGCGGGATCCTTGTCCCAGATCTGGCCGGCGCGTTCGATCATCTTGCGCTTGATTTCCTGAGCACAGTCGTGAGCGGCCCAGCCGGTGGCGAAGGTAGTGCGGCTGCCGCCCGTAAGGAACGTGAAGCCCACCGAGTCGGTGTCTCCGACGCTGGGGCGCACGTCCTCAGCCGGAATGCCCAGCACCTCGGCGGCCTGCATACTGAGGGATGCCCGGGTGCCGCCGATGTCGGTGGAACCCTCCACCAAAGCGATGGTGCCGTCGGCGTGCACGCTGATGCTGGCGCTGGAGGCCAACCCGACGTTGAACCAGAACCCGGTAGCGACGCCCCGGCCGCGGTTCGGCCCCGTGAGTTCCGACTGGTAATGGTCGGTGTCGCGGGCGGCTTCCAAGGTTTCGATGTTGCCAATCACCGGGAACTCGGGCCCGTCCACTCGGCGGGTTCCCTCTTTGCTGGCGTTCTTGAGGCGGAACTCCAGCGCGTCCATCCCGCACGCCCGGGCCAACTCGTCGACAATCTGCTCGCCGCCAAACGCGGAGATGGGAGCGCCGGGGGCCCGGTAGGCGGCAACGCGCGGCTTGTTGGTTACCACGTCGTAGCCTTCAACGTGCTGGTTGGCAATTTCGTAGGGCGCAAAGACACATTGGGCGCCGGCGGTAACCTGCGAGCCGGGGAACGCGCCAGCCTCGTAGCACAACACCGCATCGGCGGCCACGATGGTCCCGTCGTTTTTAGCGCCCATCTTCACCTTGAACCAGGAACCGGAGGTCGGGCCGGTTGATTCAAAGGTCTCGGTGCGGGTCATTTGCATCTTGACCGGGTTGCCCGTCTTCTTGGACAGCAGGGCGGCCAGCGGCTCCAGGTACAGCGGAATCTTGCCGCCAAAACCGCCGCCAATCTCCATGGGGACAACCTTGATGCGCGACACCGGGATTTCCAGCACGCCGGCCAGCGCGTCGCGGGTGGTGAATGCGCCCTGGGTGCTGGTCCACACGGTCAGGTAGCCATCCGTGTTCCAGAGCGCCGAGGCGTTCTGGGGCTCAATGTAACCCTGATGAACCGTGCGGGTGCTGAATTCGCGTTCGACGACGTGGTCGGCCTCGGCAAAACCCTTTTCAATGTCGCCCGTTTCGTACTGGAAGCGCGTGGCGATGTTGCTGTGCTTGTCGGTGGCCTCGCCGAATTCGGTAGTGGTCAGGTCGTCGTGCAACAGATCGGCGTCGTCCTTCATCGCGTCCAGCACGTTGGAATTGGCGCGCAGCACTTCGTACTCCACCTTGATGAGTTCCACGGCTTCCTCGGCCACGTGCACCGAGTCGGCGGCGACGGCGGCTATGGGATGGCCGCGGTAGAGCACCTTGGCTCCCGCCAGGACGTTGTCGCTATTGGCGCGCGCCGACAGGGACGGGTTGTCCTTGCTGGCGATGGGGAGATCGGCGCCGGTAACTACGGCCCGCACTCCGGGAAACGCCTCGGCAGCCGACGTGTCAATGGACTTGATGCGCGCGTGGGCGTGTGGACTTCGAAGCACCTTGCCATGCAGCATTCCGTTCATGGCAAAGTCGCCGCCGTACTTGGCTCGACCGGTAACCTTGTCTGCGCCATCATGGCGGACGGGTCGTGTCCCCACGACGTTGTAAGTGGTGTTGGATAGTACGATATTCACCATACGGCACCTCGCGATGAGTTTGATTGGCGGAAAATTTACGGTGAGCGGCCAGAGCAACGCCGCATCAACAGTTCTATCTAATGCTTACCGCCAGATTTTTAGCACAGACACCACCACCGTCCCAACCCTGGCACATCATGTTACCCGGCCATTTGGATTATTCATCGACAATTCGCTCCGGCGAAGGCCAGGACCCGGAAAAACCTCGATTACATACGATTGGTCCCTAACTAACCGCTCTGGATTCCAGCTCAAGGCCGGAATGACGGCATATCGTAATTCACCGGATTCGGGTAAATGACGGATTCGCCCCCTCT